TAAAGATATCAATAAATATTTATTTCAAAGTATCAGAAAGGTACTTTTATTATGAAAGAGTATGAAGACTTGATAATAAAATCAAGGTCTACATATACCATTTTTATACTTTTCAAAATATTAGAAATGTAACAGGCTATATATATTACAGAAGCTATATATGCTACAACTATCACTAATAAAATATGTAATATAACTAATATATATATGAAATATATAATAAATAGTATATATGCTATATATATGATAAATAATAAAGTATCTCAAAAACTATAAATAATAAATATATTACATAATGCATTTTCTACAGTAATCATCAGCTAATCAGATTATACAAATTATGATAAAAAGCTAGATCTTGATTATTTCAGGATCTAGTGATTGAATTTTGATGATTATTAGCTCATTAGAACTGTCTCAATAAGCTGATTCTAATAGTATATATTTTATTCAATTGAACTAATAGATCAAAAGTTATTAAGGAATTTATGTTTTTTCTTAATATTTCATATGTTAACATTACTTAACTCCTTGATGAGTTAGCTAACTAAGCAGAGGAACATGCCTGCAAAGCTAAGAATATCAAAACAAATACTAAATATCAAAACTATTATTTCTACTAATATTTAATAGCCTATTACAACCATGCTATACAAAACTATAAAATAAATTTCTTTAACAAGAAAGAAGGTATTAAATTTTTAATAGAACAACTAATTAATATATACTTCTTAGCATACATAATCATATATTATAATATTATACTCAACAATATACTAATATATAAAATAATAACTAAATTTTATAAAACAATAGCTATACCAAAGGCTAAAAAGATCTTAAAAGAAAGATTTAATATTAACTTCAAACTAGTAGAAATAGTAGACTCACTATTCTTAGAAATTAAACAAACTTCTTCTTTTCAGTCAGCTTGTCTTCTACAAATCTACTAATTTCTTCTAATCTTGTAGAAGATATTTGCATAGTAGCTCTAATACTAATATAACTAAAACAACAAAGACTACTTATTACCATACTACAACAAATTCCTAACATACTACAACTTTTCTCTCTTAAACGATAATCAAACTATTAAATTCTTTTCTGATCATCTAAAATTTCATAAGTTTAACTATAAAACAATATTCTTTTTTAATTCTAAATTTAGTAAAATACAAATATATATATACTTCTGATAATATATATCTACTTAACAACTACTTGTTTATAGAGTTATACTAACTTCCAATATACTACAACCTACTACTAAAATCATAAACTTACTTAACTACTAATTCTAATCTTAACCTTAATATAGTAACTTATAATATACAAGGTTTTAATATTTTGACTAAAAGACAACTCTAGAAGAATATTGTATAAAAGAAAACTTTAATATTGCTAGTATTACTGAGACCAAACTAAATATTTTATGATCACAAAAATTTCTAAATATTAAAAACTTCTTCTATTTCTGAGCAAGACTTAGAAACTCAGTTGAAAGAACTATACTTATAATCAATAACAATCTTAAGCTATATATTTATAATATACTATCATATTATGAAAGAGCTATTACTATTAATCTCTTTTTCAAATATGACTTTAAATTTAGAATTATTTCAGTTTATTTATTAATCTCAAATAAATTCTACAAAGACTCAGTTTAAGAAAAAGCTATACAATAAATTCAGCAAGCTTTTAGCTCAAATCTACTTTCTGTTATTCTAGAAGATTTTAATACATCTACTAATTATATATTCAGTATTTCTTCCAAAATACTATTACTATCTTATTTATATAGTATTAACATTAATTATCTGACTAATCATACAGCTAATCAACAAAATACCTAGAAAAGCAGCAAATATTGTTGCAAAATTAACTATATCTAAATATACTATCTAATTATACAATTTCTAATAGATTTTTTTTATGATAATTCTCTTACTATAACTAATAGTAATTATAAAATTCTGGTCTCCAAATAGTCTTTTCTTTTTGCTTTTTCTAGAAAAATCAGAAACAAAACTAATACTAAATGAAGAATTTTTAATTATAAAAGAATAACTATAGAATCATAACAAGAATTTGCTGATTAAACAAATTCTAATTTATAAACTAATAATACTCTACTATTAATATAAATAACAGAATCTTTAAAAACTATTTAGTATAAATCTAGATAAGTATTATTCAAGTAGCTCTTTCTAAGATTTCTAACAAAAAGTTTACAACAAAAAACTTCTATTATACTTTTTCTTCTAAGGCAACAGAGCTGCATCTGAATCTTAAAATTCTAGGAGAAGCAATTAGAAAAACTAAAAAATATCTAAACAACTAAAATATCTCATATTCTGATTTTTCTACAACAATTAATAATATTTATTTTCAATCTTCTTTTAATATTTCTCTACTTCTACTAGATATTAATCTAATCTCAAGCTAGATTTCTTTTTCTAAAGACTACTAAAAATCTCTCTACAATATCTAAAATACTTACTAAATAAAAGAATACATCAATCAAATTGCAAACAGAATATATAATTTCTTTCAAACCAAATCTATAAAATAATTAATAATATCTTAAACAGATATAGTGAATCTGTATACTTTAATAATATTAAAACACAGAATAAAATTTATTGATTATTAACAAATAATTTGAAATATAAAGTAACTACTATAAAAAAATGTTCATAAATTTTGTATAAACTACTAAGACCAAAAAAAAAAATAAATACTACGATTCTGCAAAAACGCATAAAAAAATGTTCTCAAAAAAATATATATTGAAAAAAAAGAAAAAAAAAGAAACCTTTTTATAAGTGAATTATAAGCTATATATTAGCTTAATAATTTATATTCAATAATCGTAATAAATATATAAAGTTTAAATTTCAATAATGTTATTTAAATGACTATTTCTTTTTAAAAATAAGATTTGCAAGACAGTTTCAGAATTAAGATGAGTCCTCTTTGAAGTTACTTGATTACTAGCATCAGAAAACAGATGTTCACTTGGTACTAAAGTAGCTGGTATTGCCAAATACTTTCTTGCCAACTGACTCAAATTTGGAAACTCACTCTCATATTTTTTCCACTATTCTAGAGGCAAGGTATCTTGTAAGACAATAGGCACTCTTGATATATCTATATATTTGTCTAATTCATTATCTGTTAAAATATTATTATCATAGTCATCCTGAAAAATTGAGACAAAATAATAGTTAGTTGATGAAATAGTAGCTGGGGAGAGGCAGATAATAATGGTCTATTACTAGCAATGATATCAAGTTCTTTACAACATAATCTAATAGCTTTTTCTCTAATATAGCTAGACCAGAGGTGTATTTTTTTAAGCCTGAGGTCTAATAATATTGCTAAAAGGCTTGTACTATTTAGATTTTCCAATACTTACAGAGCGAACTATATATTTCTTGCATGACTTGTGAAATTACAGATTGAATATTAATAGCTCTTAGTGGTTGTGTATCAGAATTATCATTGTCTTCACTATTATTGTTACTTTCACTATCATCATCACTTTTACTTATATCAGATTCTAAATAAATAAATTAATCATTTAATTAATACATATTGGGTAAAGCTACTATTTAGTATTGTCCAATAACTTTAATAGCCTTATAAAAATTATATTTTTATATTGTATATAATTTTCACAAGTTATTTAGTAAGTAAATTTTCACATGTAGTAACTAGATCATCAAATGCATAATTGAACTATTAAATTATTATAACGATAACACAAAACTATAAAATATTAAATTCAAAATTACAGTTAGAAACTTACACAAATTACATAATAATAATGATATAAAATTACATAAAAATTACAACCTACTTGTTATAGCGATTGGTCATTTAACTTTGAAATAAAGCTATATGTATAGGTAGATTTTCTTGATTTCAGTGATTATTAAAAATAAATGATAATAATTCATAAAATTTAATTCAATCATTTATATGATAATGCGTAAATACCAGTAAAGTTAAATGTATAATTGTATTTGATTAGTTAATCATTTCCCTTATCTACAAATTTCTTATGAATCGCTTATGAATCACTTCTGAAACTGTTTATAAAACTACATAACAAATATAATAATTACATGTATTTAATTGGCTAATTGCTTTCTTAACCATAAATCACTTATGAAACTGTTCACAAAACCTATTATGCTTATAAATTATTAATAAATCATTAATAAATCATTACTTATTTTTTTAATGATTTCGATATTTTGTATATTAATTTATTATAATATTGAAATATAATCTATTTCGTCATATCACTTAATTTTAATAATCACAGTATTCTCATCAAAAATTTTTGCTCATACGAATTAAAATAGTATAACTTAAATTATTAGCAGGGATGTTATTAGCTCATTCAGCTCTATTCATTAATTAGTTTTTATAATAATCAAATATACAAGCTGCATCAAGCTGATAATATCCCTAGTTATTGGCTTAATACTGCTATAAATGGAGTTTGTATCAAAATCCTGAAAGTGAAATTCTGAAAGTTTAATTATCATTTTACATGATACAAATATTCAAAGTCTGCAGACTTTGAATATTGTATCATATAAAATGACAATTAAACTTTCAGGATTTCACTTTTAGGATTTTGATACAAACCTCTATAAATTTAGTATTTAGTAGTAATATAATAAAAAATAATACTAATATCTATCTCAATTGAAGATAAACCCGAATTAAAATCTGATTTAAAACTTTAATTATCAGATACATTACAGATAATGTTAGATATTTTTCAGCACTAAGTACTTCAGTTGCTTGATCAAAGGGCTCAAAAACTTTAATTAACTCTTTAACTAACTGCTATTCATTTTTATTAGGTAGGCAACGCCTAAGTTTCTTACTATCTTTTTTTTTATCTAAATTCTGTGAAATATTCAAATTTGCCTCTAGCCATACAATTGCATCCTTTAATTTTATTAGCCTTTTCTATGACTGATATTTTGAATTCTATCTAGTTGGACAGTCTTTTACTAATCAAAGAACTTGAGGTACTAAATTTATACTTAATTGCTCTATAATATCTCTATTATCAATTTTATCAGGTTCCTCACTTTCACTATATAGTTCAGTATTACTTAGTTTAGACATGAATAATTGATCTCTTTCAGCTATTGCAATTTGAGCTTTTTCTAGTTTTTCTATTTGTTTTGGAGAGTCAAAGAATTTGACAAGTTTTTTTATTTTTTTAATATGCAAATGGACTTTTCGTAAAACATAATTAACAGTTAGTTGTAAAATATGTGCAGAACATGGAATTTGTTCAACAGAATTTTATTTTTGAATTGCTTTTACCATATTAGTACCATTATCAGTAATGGCATATGCAATTTTATCTTGAAGGTTAAATTGAGTACATTTTTTTAGAATAAATTAGTAAATAGATTTACCTATATGCAGATATAGCATTTTCTCATAGCAAAGTGTTATGCTATATAGTTTCTAATTTGGAGCTATCCAATGACAAGTAATTCCCATATAACCTTCTTTATTTCGTGATATCCACAAATCAGCTGTTATTGCAGCAGTCTTATAAGAGATGCAATTATACTTTCAAGAGTACTAATATTATTTTTATAACTTAATACTAGATCATTCATTATTAAGTGATTAGAAGGAGGACAAAACTTTAGATCAATTACTGCCATCATTCTACAGAATCCTTTTTTTTGTGGTGCAGTAAATAGTTCATTATCAAGAACAATCCATTCCATAACTACTCTATTATTTTCTAATTGTTTAGTTTTTTTATGTGGGATATTATTATTGATTAGATCAGGTAATTTGGTTTGGTATACATGTTTAATTTCAGATTTTAATTTATTATTATTTAAAATGCTATGATCTGAATATAAATGAGTAATCATATTAGATATTAACTCATCATAAGTATACTCTTTCCCACATTTTTGCTCTGTTCCTTTTCTTTTTATGATAACTTGGCACATATCATTTTTATCAACTAATTTAAAATATTTCTATACAAAACTTCTTTTGTTTTTAACTCTCTTTTTTTTAGTTATAGGTCTAATGGTAGTATGAGAAAGATTACTTCGCTTATTAAAAAAATTTAAACTAGATTTAGCTTGTAAATTCTCTTGAGAATTCTCTTAGAAATCCTCTTAAGAATCCTCTTGAGAATCTTCTCAAGAATCTTCTTGAGGAGTATTCTGAAAATCTATTTCTGAAATAAAACAAAAAAACTATATTTATTTATATATCTGTTGATTCTTATTTACTATCATTATATTTACCTTTGGTTTTATAACTAAATATCTTGTTTTAATTAATTAATTATTTATTTATTATTTAATCTGATGTACTGTAGTATTCAAAACTCTTTCTGATGATCCTTTTTTCCAAAAAATTGAAAAAGCAAAAAACAAAAATTTTGTTAGAGACAATAAAGAAGACTCTTTTACAACAATGGTTTTTAAAAAGTCAACTAGGTTTCTACTTCTCCTTAGGGACTCCTTTGTATATTCAGCATGCAAGCTAGAAGTGATATTATATAAGA